AACTTTTAGGCCACATTATTCTTCCTTTTATGGGCTCTACCTTATAGGAATATGCATTCTTCCATGTATCCAAACAGTATACCTTTTTGACCCACCTATAAATGTCACCAACATCCTATGAGTTCTTGGTCATTTCATAAAGGGTTGCAATGACATGTTTACAGGGGATGCCTATTAGCTCCCACTTCCTGCAAGTACATGTGTTGTTCCTAACATGTTGATCTTGCGATGCCCCAATGACTTGGTATCTCTCACCCCCATTCCACCTAGCAATGTAATGTGATGCGTGAGACTTGTTTACATCCAATATGGTTGTTGCAGTGGGTGTTAAAGGCCATTTTGCCTTGTCCATCACCTTCATAACATTACATATTCTCTTCATCAAGTATTGCCTAATATACTCCAAACAACCTATGATATGCTTATCTCTTCCCTCCATTATCTTGTTGTTAAATACCTCACAATGGTTGTTTAACAGTATATCAGAGATTGATCTGCCTGTTAAAAAGAACAACATACTATTTTAAGTACAAGTCAACATTTAACATATAGTAATTTATGGTAAGTTATGTACCTATGAAATGGCTTCTTGCCCAATGTTTTGGAGGAATCTTTCTAATCCATTCACATGCCTCCCTGTCATAGTTGCTAAATTCTCTCATGCAATGTTCAAATTCAGGTATAGTTGTTGCAGTTGCACATCTCCATAAATGATCCTTGTACTCTTTCAATTTCCATTTCACTCTCATGTTCTGATGTATGTGCCTGAGACAATACATGTGCCCAACACATGGGAATAGTTGGTCTATTGCTGGTATTAAACCCTAAAACAATAACAATAATTAAGTATTTAGTTTATATAATAATTAATTAATAATACAAGTTAGAAAGAGATACCTTTTGTCGATCTGTGATAAAAGTAAAGTTTGAGTTTGAACCAAGATCCAAGTCTTCTCCTAAACACTGCAAGAACCATATCCAACTACTTTTGTTCTCTGTCTCAACAATGACATAATCAAGGGGGTAAATGCCATTGTTAGAGTCCAACCCAACTGCTGTTAGAACCTGCCCAAGAAATGGTCCTTTCATATGCGCACCATTGAAACCCAAAAGATCCCTGAGGCCAGCCTTAAAACCTTTTTTCAGAGGACCTAAGCAAATGTAGATTCTTTTAAACCTCCTAGTTGGGTTTGATGGGTTATGTTCACTGTAAACATCAATCTTGACAGTTGTGTCAACATTGGTTGCTTGCAATTCAAGAACATAGTCCCTCAAGATCTCATATTGTTTCGTATAGTCACCTTCCATGATCTTAGTTGCAATAGCCTTGGCCCTGGATACTTTGTCAAAAGAAACACCAACCTCGAAGTCCTTTTAAAGTTGTTCCTGCAATGCTCGAAGAGGAATCCCTGGATTCGTGTCGATTTGGTCCATGATTCGCTTGGATATAAAAGTAGCAGTGCAACCTCTAATCTTCCTACTTTGAAGGCAAGTATGGTTGTGATTTAATGTCCTTACAAACCAATATGATTCTGTGTTTGACCTAGAAGCATGAAGGAACCAACTAAAGTTTACTTTATCTGAATTTACCTCTTTGCCCTTGCTTTTACTTTTGGTATTAAGGCCCACCACCCCACTTGCATTCATGAAGGGGACTACGCCTCTACACAATGCCCGAAGTCTAAGCTTGTCATTCTTTTTATAATACAAATTCCTCCTAGTTTCTAATTCGTGCATGTCAATTTTTTCTTTCAAATCTTTCTTTGATTTAAAATTTTGCCCAACATAAAAACTGGCCTTATGGACATTGCCAAGACTGCATCTTTTCTACTTAGCCAAATTCTTAAGAAAACATCTTCTTTTCCTCTCATCATCTGACCCTTCATCTAAAGAATCCCATTTATCATTGTCAATGAATTCTATGTCCTCATGTTCATCATTTGTCCCAACCCCAGCAGCGGAACCAGAAACTTTTATAAGGGGTAGCACCAAAAAAATCTCGATAAAAGATAATAAGATAATTTTTTAAAAAATTATGATTTGTTTGATATTACAAACTAACACAAAAGTCTTATATTTTAAAGTTGACATTTTTGTTCCCATTTTTTCAAAGAGCTCCATTACTCGTTATACACTACAAATCAAAATATCATTCATTAAATCATCACCCATTTTTATTACGTCAGTTGGTCTTCCAAAATTTCATTGCGGAAAAACATCACTTAATTAAAATGGATTCCGAATTCTTGAAATTGCATGTCTAAACCAATTACCAACATGTGTTCTTCTATTAAAAAATTTCCAATGAGTTTCCACAAACCAATTAAAATATTTAAACTTATTTTCACTAATAACATAACAAATTAACCAGTTAATAACTAATTAGTTCATTTTAGGTTTTTAATTTGAATAACTGAAATTAAAATAAAATAGTAAATATTAATATTAAAATAAATACTTTATATTTGTTTTGTATATATAATGAAGTGGGCTATTACCTCCCCATCTTGTTAAACTTCTTGTTTCTTTTTTTGTTTTGTGGACTAACCAATGTGCTTTTATTTGGCCTAAAACTTGGACTTCTTATTATACCTATTAATTGCATATTTTAATTATAGTTACTGTGGTGTTGGTGCACCATATGTATATATAAGGAAAAGTCAATTTTTTAATATTTGTGGGAAGAACATGAGGGGTAGCACATGCTACCCCTGCCACCATGCTAGTTCCGCCGCTGCCCAACCCCATTATGAAACCCATCCATTTGAACACAACCATCATCCCTATCACGATTGAGGTTAAAGTCAGTCATATCCACCTCCACTTATGATACATTGTTTTCATCATCAACAAGTTCATCGTACTGGTCTTCTGATTGTTGCCCAAGATCATCACTGTCAGTAGACTTTTCATGTTCAGACTGATGGTTTTCAACATTCTCATCTTCTGGTAGTTGATAATGTTCTCCATCAAAAGGATCAAAGTGATCATGAGAAAAGTTTTCATAATTAAAGTCATCATAATCAAAGTTAGCATGGTCACTACCTTGATCTTGTACCACATCATCCATGTTAGCATGGTTACCACCTTGATCTTGTACCACATCATCCATGTTAGCATGCTCACCATCTTGATCTTGTACCACATCATCTAATTTAGGATTCTCACCACCTTGATCTTGTACAACATCATCCAATATAGAATGATCACCACCTTGATCTTCTATTACATCATCCAATTCAACTAAACGAAGCTTCTTGGCACAAGAACTTCGACCAACTATTGAGTTCACCCTTCCATTTCTTCTATACTCTGGTGAAACTTGTGTAGGGACTGTGTCAAAGAGTATCAAGTACATATACCCTGCCAGCTGTGTTTGACCATTAGCTTCATCTATTATTGGGGTTTTATCCTTTGCAGGTACTTGAGGTACGTTTGCTTATTTTGGAAGATCACCATCACATAGCTCCTTAATAATAACTTTTTGCTTTCCTTTTGAAGACATAAAATAGGTCAGCAAATTAGTTTGTCCATGTTTTGTATACACTTCAATGACCTTGTTATCTCCAATATATTGAGCCAAATTCAAGACATCGGTATCATTCCCTAAAGCTCTAAGACCAAAATCCAAGTCTTCATGAGGAATCCTAAAATGGTAATATATTGCTGGGGGTACGGAGTAACTTAGCTCTAGCATCATTGCGTCTAGTTCATGAACTGAGAACTCATCAATGTCTACTAAATCAATATATCACACTTCACCTTTAACATATTTCGTGTTTGGATGCTTGGTAAAATTTCCACCATGGTGTAGCTTTATGGTGAACATTTTTGGTACACGCTCTACAAGATACAAAAAAACATTAAGTAAAAAAATTTCAGATGTATGTATTTTTGGCTCTGTTCTTCAGATCATCAAAAAACCCACGAAAATTTCATAAACAGAGGATAAGTGAAACTAACCATATTCATTTGTGATGCCATACGTCTCGCCTTTTTGCCTAATCGCCCACATTACGAACACCATTTACAGTTGAAAAGCAATAACAAGTAAACACCTTGGAACAAATCTTGATTAGGGTTTTCAAAATGAATGATGAAGAAGATGGAAGTGGAAGAGGTAACTAAAATATTTTTTGTGTAATATGGCGCTAAGACGGTAACAAGTGGGTTTATTTCAGGAATTGTAAAAATGGTCCCTCAAATAAAAAGACATTTATGCCCTCGTGTGCAATGCACATGAGGGGTTTAACAACCACAAACAAACGAAAGTTAACTCCAGGGACTTGTTCCACAAACAAACCTCTCAATAAGGACCAAAAATCCAATTTTTAAAAGCTTTGGACCATATCCACAAAAAATGACAAACCACAGGGACCATTTTTGCATTTTTGTCTATACCATATTAATAAACTTTTGACATTAATATTGTAAAGTAGTTAAACTAGTTTGTAAGATATAGACAAAATTGCAAGTTTGGTCCCTGTGGTATGTCAAAAATTGGATGTTTGGTCCAAAAAGTTTTGGGGTTGCACTGGTGGTCCAAAAAGTTTGATTTGTTGTGGAATTGGTCCAAAGACTTAACAGCTGTCTGTGCCCTCCGTTTATGTGAGGGTATTTCTGTCAATTCACACTCCTTCTTCTAAAATCTTATTAAATTAGGACATGCTTTGAAAAGATTTATGCCAAGTGGCTAATGTTAATTTAAAGCTACAACTAGAGGGACTGGTTTTGCCAATCTGATACAAAATTTGGGTAAAGGGACCAACATGGTCATCATCTTAACAAATCGGGGGAAAAGACTTTGTCTTCATCAGATTAAGAAAGAAGGAACGAACGGAAGCAATCAAAAATCGATGATTGTTTTGGTTCTGTAACAACAATGATGGAGGAGGGGTTCTTCACCTTCGTGTCTGATCGGAGAAGAAAAGGGAATGAAAGCAGCAGCAGTTGCCGATCTCATGGACGGCACCACCTGTGCTTGGCTTGTTTGGACAAGGAAAAGGAAAACGAAAGTAGAAGAGTGATTCGGTGGTGGCTGTTGTCAACAGCAGTGATGGCAAGGCGGTTGCTCCGGCGGCCTCCTTGACTGATTTCTTATCCTGTGAGGGCTGATCTAATAGGCTCGGTTGTCTCTCTTCGTCGACTACCACCTCCTAACACCCCTCGCTGCCTCCTCCTTTCCCTTCCTCTTCTTCGGCCTAAGTCGAATCCCGGAGGCCATCATCGATTGCGAATCAATCGACGAAAAATCAGAAGCCATCAGACCCCCTTCCTTCAGCCAGAAGAACGATCGAACATTCGCTGACTTCGTGTGCCTTCTTCTTGACTGCCTTCGGTTCATTCCCGTTCCAATCTCCTCTTCTTCCCAATCGATTATGCCTTCGTTCTTCCCTTCGTGTTATGTATTCATTTCCTTTGCGTTCCCCTTGACGATCGATCAAATGACGAACAAAAAAAAATCCCTTGACCACTTTCTAATCGGTTCCTATTTTGACCAGTCAAAAGTCAAAGTGGAATCAAACTTTAATTTAATTTATTCAAAAGTTACCCTTATTTGACAAAATAATTTACAAGATCAATCCTTTTGGACAGAAATACCCTCACACAAACGGAGGGCACAAACGACTGTTAAGCCTTTGGACCAATTCCACCACAAATCAAACATTTTGGACCACCGGTGCAATCCCAAAACTTTTTGGACCAAACATCTAATTTTTGACATACCACAGGGACCAAACTTGTAATTTTGTCTAAGATATACTTTAATAATTTTAATTCTAAAAAGTGCTCAGTTCCACAAGTAAAGTTATTAAATATTAAAGGGTATACAAATGAAATATCCACACAAAGCACCAACAAAGTTCTTTGAATTTAGTTAGACAAAATTGCAAGAATGGTTACTGTGGTATGTCAAAACTAGCAACTTTGGTCCAAAATGGGTTTGGCTCGCAAGGATGGTCCAATAGTTTCGTTTTGTTGCGAGTTTAGTCCAAAAATTTTAAAACTTTTTATAATGACGGATTTGCCCTTGGTATTTTCCCTTTTTTAATTTTTTTTATTACAGAAATCAAAAAAAGAAAAAGAAAAAAAAAAAGAAAAATCTCTCTCTCTCTCTCTCTCTCTCTCAAGAACTTAGGATTCTTGGATGAACCGGATGAAGATATGTTCTTCATTCATCTTCTAGAAACAAAAATTCAAGGTTTAGTTTTAAAAGACACACACAAAACCAATCTCTCTCTGCTCTCCCATTGATGTTCAAGCTTCTGAAGAGCATAATTTTGAGTTTTAGAACACTGATGAAAAGGCAGATCCCAAATATAAACGTGATGAAGATGATCGAAGTTTTTTATTTTTTGGATGTTCTTGTCCGAACATGAAGATGAACAAAATTAAAAAACTGATGAATAAATAAATCTTCTGTTCTAAACAAATCGAGACTCAAACTCGATTTCAGGAACTGAATGACGAATTTGAAGAACTCAAGAACGATCTTCAAGCTACAAAAATCATGTTCAAATTTTCTGGAAACCGTAAACCATAGAAACATAGAAAACATTAAATCGAAACCCCTGAAACTCGAAAACTTTAAATCAAAACACCAAAAGTCGAAACTCTGAACTTGAAAACCTTAAATCATAACACTAAAAGATGTGAATATATAAAAATCAAAATCGAACTTTGATTTCTCTTCTCTAAATCGATATCAAATGTCGACTACAAGACTTGAGACTAAAAACCTCAGATTTCATCCAAGAGCTCGAGATTTTCACAGGTTCATGGTTTTTTAAAGCTAAAGAAAACGAAGGGTTCATTGGATTTGGGAAGCATGTCGATTAGCGGGAGTCGCATCTTCGGTGGTTCACCAGAAGAAGCTTGACATGAGATCTGGGTTTTGTTGGAAAAGCTTGAAAGGAGATCTGGTGTTGTTCTGGCTCTTATGGTAGATTCTTGTATCTAATTTGATGTTCTTGATGAATTTTTAGGGAAGAAACGATTAAAGAGATTTTGTTAAGGAAAAGTAATGAGGAAGGAATGGGCATTAATGAGAGAGAGAGAGAGAGAGAGTAAGAGAGAGAGATATTTTATTTTTGTTTTATTTTTAATTGTTTTTTACTTGTTGTAATAAAAGAAAATTGGAAAATAAAATTATAAAAAAAGTTCATAGGAAATTGGACTAAACTCGCAACAAAACGAAACTATTGGACCATCCTTGCAAGCCAAACCCATTTTGGACCAAAGTTGCTAATTTTGACATACTACAGGGACCATTCTTGCAATTTTGTCATTTAGTTATGGAAAAGGTGAGTCGTTGGAATCTATGAGGTAATCGTTGGACTCTTATGTCTTAACCTTTTACTTTTCATATAAATTTAGGGTTGTGCTATAAGTACCTCTTACCCACATTTACCCCTAAAATCAATAAAATCAAACCTAAAATCAATAAAATGAAATTTTGACATTTGATTTGAAATCATTTTTTTTCTTTTTTGACACAAATTATTATTATATATATATATATATATATATATATATATATATATATATATAATATATATATATATAGTTGTATAGCGGTTTGAATTTATAATATCCGATTTTTTGACAAACTTTGCTTTTGTTTCGATTTTATATAGCCGTTCGAATTTATAATGTCCGATTTATAAAATGTTGTTCGAAATTTATAATAATAGTAACAATAATAATATTAATATTAAAATATAAAAAATATTTAAAAATCAATTTTATATAGCCGTTCGAATTTATAATGTCGTCCGAATGTTAAAATTTTATGTGAAATTTATAACAATAAGAATAATAATAATAATAATAATATAAATTAAAAAAGAACTAAAAACAACAAAAAAAAATAGAAAAAAAAACATCAAAAGACAAAAAATCAAATCAAAAGGGTGGAATTGAAAAAGAAAAAGAGATAATTACAGAAAACCCCTAAATTTATAGACAATATTACTAATCATCATTTTTAATTAACAAATTTAATTTATAATTTTTAACATGGCTTCTTGAAAGAAAATATGAAAATTGTTTGACTAAATTGCAAATTTGGTCCCTATGGTTATCAAAAAAATGTGAATAGAGTCCAAAATCTTTTTAACTTGCACCATTGGTCCAAAATCAAATTCTTTTTGTGGTTTTAGTCCCTAGAAAAGTTGAATTGACTTTTTTGCCCTTTTAATTTTATTTTTGAATTTCTTTACTCTTTTTTAATATTTAAAAAAATGAAAAAGAAAAAAGAAAATGGCCCACCCACACCATATGTACCCTCATCTCTCTCTCTCTCTCATTTTTTCTGCCTTGTATCCCCAATTTGGAACATGATACCCATCGAACTCCTTCACTTCACCACTTCTTCACCTAATCAAAAACCAAAACACACTAAAATCACAACCAACAAGAAAGCTGAGATTCCAGCACCGACCCATTGCTTTGTCCCCAAGGAATGTACATGATGCAAATGAGGGAGGAGCTGGTGGTGTTTTCCAAGGAGCATATAACAGAGGCAATAGATCGAAAATAATATGGATCAAATGACGATTGACCAGAGCCCGCAACTAGTAGGTATGTAGAGGCCGAAAACGAAGATTGTTTCTACTTTAGGACCTGCATCTTGATCAGTTCCAATGCTTGAGAAGTTGTTGACAAAAAACCTAATTTTTCTATTTTGGGTTTCTTGATTATGTTCATCATAAGTGGGGCTTGCTTCAACTATTATCTCCGTTGAAGAAATCTCATTTTTTACCTGATTAGGTTATGTGTGGCATCTTCAATTTGGGGATTCTTGAGGAACCAATTCTCTTCAGTTGGTTGTTGGTGTTTGGGTAACCAACAACGGGAGAGTAGAGGAGGGAATGGAGGAGGCAGAGACATGAATAGGCAGAGACAGGAATAGGCTGGGGGGTGGGAATCAGTTTGTTTACTTCTTCCCCATTGTTCTGATACATCTCATAGTTTTTTTTGTGCTTCATATCTTAGAGATCGGTTTCTACCATTTTCCGGAGAGGTTGAATAGCTACGAAAAATGTTACAGGTTAGTTTCTAGCATGGATGGTTTAGATTAACTTCCCACCGTTCCATGATATTTTGGTGTAGTCATCGATCATATTAATTGTGTTGTAAAAGGGATTTTGCAGATCTAAGAAAAAGAGGGAGATACAGGGCAGGGTGTTTTTTTTTTAAGTTGCAGGTAGGTGTATCTACATGTGAAGTGTTTTTTGTGTTTTGATATTTGGTCAGTGGTTGTGAAGAACGTGAAGAACATAGGTAAGTTTTGCAGGTTAATGTGCTTAACATAGAGAAAACGAAGGGATGAAGACAACAATAGTGGTGGTAGGAAAGAGAAGGGGGGGGGGAGTCAAAGAGATGAAGAATGTAAAAAAGAGAGCAGGTTTACGGGTGGGTAGAATATTGGCCACTTTATTTTTTCTTTTTCTTTTTTTAAATGTTAAAAAAATAGTAAAGAAATTCAAAAATAAAAGTAAAAGGGCAAAAAGTCATTTCAACTTTTTTAGGGACCAAAACCACAAAAAAAATTCGATTTTGGACGAATGGTGCAAGTTGAAATTTTTTTGGACCCTGTCCACATTTTTTTGATAACCACATGGACCAAATTTGCAGTTTAGTCAAATTGTTTAAAATTCTTCTTTGAATTTTTGGAGGAATAATAGGATATAACGGCGGTGCATCAAGAAGGTCGTACGGTGGCACCAAAACCGGTGCAACTAACTCTATCTTTGTGAAAAAATCCCCAAAAGCTTCACCCTCGTTTGATTCCAATTTCTCAATCCATCAATGGCAACATACAAGCTCGCAGCGATCATCAGGAACCCTAACAATAACAACGAGTTCCTTCTTGTTAAGCAAACTCCGCCTCCCAAATACGATGATCAAGAATACAACTCGTATGCTGACTCCGACCTCTGGGACTTACCGTCGGTGAAATTGACCTCACTATCACCGGAAGTAGATTCCTCGCCTCAGTTTGTACTGCAAGGCGAAGAAGCGTGTTCGCATAAGCTCAATTTGAGGAAATTTGATCTTCCTTCAGCTCTTGCCGAGGTATTAGTGGGTTTATCTTCTACCAACGAATTCGTTATAATCCGTACCGTAAACTTGTTATAGAATCGAATTGTTCAGATGCACTCCTTCGATTTCATTAAAATACCAGGTCTTAAACTAGGTGATTGTGATCTAGATAAACTCGTTTTGGAATTGAATGGTCCTTCTGTTTCAATAAGTAGCACAACTAAACAGGAATAATCTTTTGTATTCAGAAAGCACTACGATTCAATCCAGTAAAAATGCATCAGTTATTTGAACAGAGGTAGTTTTACTAATGGTTGCCCTCAATGATAAATGCAACTCCCCCTTTATGCACTCTGATCTACCACCTGAAAATCAAACTGTATCTTCTTTGACCACAAGCCACATATCTGATTTTGGAAGGGAGAGAGTAGGACTTCTGGAATTATCATGATATGAACTTCTAAACGATGTTATTGCATATCAATGTAATATCCAAGTTGCTTGCCTGATCTTAGGTTTTGGGACAAGTAGGTTTTGAATCAGTCAATGGAGTAGAGTGGAAGTTTTTGAAGTTTGTGGAAGAACCTAATTTTGGACCAGGATTCCCTATTCAGACTGTGTATGTTACTGGGGACCTTGTTCTTGAGACTTTAAAAGGTTAGCAACATGCTAATGTTAATTATAATGTTTCATTTTGTAAACAATGAATGTTATGGGTTGACTTTTACAGACCATTGTCAATGGAGTTCCAATGAAAGTTGCTCCAATTTGCTTCTTCAAGTAAAGCCAGGTGGCAATCGAATCGGGGCCATTAGCAGTCAATGGTGTACTTAAAAAGTCAATGCAATCTCATTCCTTGAAATTGCCTCCAACATTGTCATGTCAGGTTTGTAGGCTTCGATTAAATGTTTTATAAATTAAGAAAAGTCTCCACTTTTAATGCTATTGCATAAATTTACAGGAATACCCTCCTGGAGTAAACATTATACCTATGGGAAGCAAAACAGCACAACCTTTTCGTACAACAAATTTGATTGTATTTACAAATGGGAATAATCCAGTTGAACATGAAAGTAGTCCCTTTGTTGCTCAAGGAGATGCAATGATTATAGATCCTGGATGTCGATCAGAGTTTAATAAAGAGGTAAATGTATAGATTTTGATGTATTAAATTATGTTTTTAGTTTCTTAAATATGAAGTAATTTTAATGGTGAAAGTGAAAACCAGCTTGCAGAAATTGTTACTGCTTTACCACGAAAGTTAATTGTATTTGTCACTCATCATCATCGTGATCATGTTGATGGTAAGCTTCAATTCAAAAAAAAAAAAAAAAAAAATCTTTATTACATTTCCCATAGTTTATAATTTAAAAATTATATTTCTTTTGATTTTGATGATCAATTTGATGTTTTCTTCCAGGGCTTTCAACTGTTCAGAAGACCAATCCTGATGCTTGTCTTTTGGCTCATGAAAACACCATAAGCCGCATTAGAAAAGGTAACAACTTTTTACATTTACATATTAACGAAAATACCCTTGAACTTGACTTTATTTTCTGATTTATGGCATACAGATGATTGGTCTGTTGGTTACACCACAGTTTCTGGAACAGAAGAGATCTGCATTGGTGGAGAGAGATTCAAAATCATATTTGCTCCAGTAATTACACCTTAATAATCTAATTAACTTAAATTCTCACTTATTTAAGAACTAAAAAGTTAAAAATTAAAACATGTTATAAATATGTAGGGGCATACAGATGGACATCTAGCATTGTTGCATGTTAGCACTAATTCATTGATTGCAGGTGATCATTGTGTGGGGTAAGATGCTACACCTTGACATTAAAATAATTATTATTTGAATTCCAATATATATTTTTTATAAAAATCGTTATTATTTTCAGACAAGGAAGTGCTTTCTTGGATATAAATTCTGGTGGTAATATGAATGTAAGTGATTGCGCTTCAGTTTATGCAATTTTTTTCATGTGAATTTTTATATTTTAACATCATTTATTATTCTTTTTCAGGATTACTTCCAAACAACTTACAAATTTATGGATCTCTCACCAAATGCTTTGATCTCCATGCATGGAAGGGTTAATTTATGGCCAAAACACATGCTTTGTGGTTATCTCAAGTATGGAAAAAACATATTAATTATCAAAAAAGCTTACATATTATAGTAAAATGTTTGTTTAATTTCAGGAATCGTAGAAGTAGAGAATCTACAATCTTGAAAGCAATAGAATCAGGTTCAAAAACTTTGTTTGATATAGTTGCATATACATATGCTGACGTGGACAGAAATCTTTGGGTGATTGCTGCATCTAATGTGAGGCTTCATGTTGAGCATCTTGCTCATCAAAACAAATTGCCTAAGGTAAAAAAACATTCACACTAAACCTATAAAATAATAGTTAAGTGGCCAAATTGATAAAAATGAATTTTACATAAATTGATTTGAGATTATGCAGGAGTTCTCTTTAGAAAATTACAGCCGCAGTTGTTCTCAATTTAGTGTCCACGTGGGTAAATTATAAACGAATGCAACAACAGCTGTCACTTGCCCCTTCTTACCTTAGGTTAAACTTTTTACATTTTAACCCGAAGACATGAAAATTTGTTGCCACCTTATATGATAAAAAGAAAATTTAAAGTTTGTTAATCTTAAATAAACATATAAAAAATGATTGCAATTTTTATTTTTGTAGGAGTTTTGTGTAGAGAAGTTTGAGTCAACGTGTAGAGTTCATTTCTTTTCACGGTGGATGTGGACATATGTACAAAACCGCATTAATTCTCCAACTTTGATGCTGCTCGGTGCTGTAACAGCATCTGGTATTGCTTTATTGTGTTCCGTGCGTAATAAATAATAATCTCTCAATTCTAGATGAAAGTTGTAGGATTTACAAGTTATATGATGTATTAAATTTAAACTTATTTAAATAGATGTTGAGAATGGTTTGGAAAAATTATATTTTAGATTACAATGATTGGGATGTGCAAATTTGATCTCGATAATGTACATACGTCACACTCATGTATTATTAAATGCTCGAGTGGACAGATGTTGGTTGATGAAGATTTGGTTTGGTGGAAAACAAAATGTTTATCTTGTTTTTTGAGAATTGAAAAAAAAATGTTTATCTTGTTTATCTCACCTCCTTTTTCATGACTTTAGAGACAGTCTTAGCATCTCAGCACCTCCTACTAAGCCATCGTGTATTAGAAAGTATTGTAGACAAGTTATAGCTTATAACAGCATTAGGAAACCTTTGTATATAAATATGTGGCATATATGAGAATATTCAAGCAAGTTATGTTAATTCTTATAAACTATGCTTTATAATAGATCAGATTATCCATGATCATAAACAGATGATTTAGCTTGTTAAAAAAAAAACACATACCTGAGTGTACCAAAGAGGTGGCAGATTTAAGAGATGTTAAAAACTTAAAATAGATGATATATAGTTGTTACTTTTTAAACCAAATCATAAGGCATTGCATCTTACGATGTGAAAAGGTAAATTACATGGCGATAATTCTCATTTTCTTCATGATCAAGGAGAAAATCTAATTATTGATTGGCATTGCATCTTATGAGGTCTCACTTGATCTGAAAAGCGAGAAAGGGGATATGAAATCATAAACAGTTCACACTACAAGAAAAGTCCTTGTTAGGAGGAATATATGCGGATTATTGTTGTAGCACAAATCTTACCTAGTCCAATCGTGAGGCTTTATGTTGTGACCAGTATTCATTAACAAGCTTTGCGAATAAGGAAGCTGATTCATTCATCAGTTTCATGGGCTTGTCATACTCCATCACCTTTCCTGCGTCCAAGCAAAATTCCGATTTATTTCAAAAACAATCTGCATGCATTTTGAATCCCTTCTTGAAAATTGTAAGAAGCCACAACTTTTGAAAGGCTGGAGGATTTTCGAATTTGTATTACTTGCAAAATACATGTTTTTGTGGGCAATTTTTGTAAGAGCGATTGTTTGCTTGTGAAAAGTTAAAGGTAGCTGGTTAGTAGAAAAGAACTCACCATCCTTCATAACAAGTACCATTGTGCAGTCTATAACAGTTGGTACTCTGTGTGCAACTGTTATTACTGTACAGTCTTGAAATTCTTCACGAATCGTTTTCTGGATAATGGTATCGGTTGCATTATCAATCGAGGCTGTTGCTTCATCAAGTATGAGTATCTTTCGTCTCTTCAAAAGAGCTCTTCCTAAACAGAATAGTTGACGTTGTCCCAAACTCCAATTCAAGCCATCTTGCACAACTGTATTTACATCATCATATGACTAATACCAAAACACCATCTTAATCTTTAGTCTAATGTAGAAGTTATAAAGCTTCTTACCTAACGAGTCTAACCCTTCTTTTTTATCTTGAATCACCTCTCAAAGTTGGCATTTTTCAAGAACCTGGAATACACAATGATCATTAGCATTTGTTGATGGCTTTTGATTAAAACGTGTCTGATTGTGATATATTGTTACCTTCCACAGTTCGTGATCACTATGTTCTGCTAGGGGATCAAGATTATATCGAATGGAACCACTGAATAGAGTTGGTTCTTGTGGGATGATACCAAAACTTGATCGAAGGTCATGAAGGCCAATAGAAGTGATATCTAAGTCATCTATAACAATCCTTCCTTGTGTAGGTTCAACTAGTCGAAACAAAGCACCTATCAAAGTCGTTTTTCCACTCCCTGTCCTTCCAACAATTCCAATTTTATGTCTCCCTTCAAATACACAATTGATTCCTTGAAGAACCAACAGGGAATTCAGTTGATATCTAATCTGCATCACACACATAACCAAATAGTCAACAAAAGTTATAATAGTGAATAATACATGGAAATACGTTTGAAAATCTTACGTACTTTAAGGTTTTGGATATCAACTCTACCGATACTTGGCCAACTTGTTGAGGGCCGATTGGCTTCTATGATTTCTGGGGCTTCACTAGGAATATGCATGTATTGCTCTAGTCTTTCGACAGAAACTATCTGATTTGAAAGTTGGCATTGAAATTGGATGGAAGCAACAAGGGCAGCGTTCAATGAGAGCCCATAGGAAAGAGCCATTCCAATGATACCTGTCATTATTAATTACACCAAAAACATCGTTTCTTTCTTGTAGTTTTTGAGATTATTATATGTGGTTTTGAAACCATTAATCACTAACCTGAGTCAGAAGCTTGAAATGGAAGCAAAGTTATGGCCAAGGCAGACATTGAAACAACAAGTGCACATAGCATTTCAAGACGTTGGATCAACCACTCATTTGCTGAAAAACTATGAAAAAATGGACTCGCGTTGCCATCAATAAGTTGCATATGTTCTAGAAAGAAACGATATTCTTTGCCAAATGCACGGATGGTATCGGCTCCGACAATTGACTGTGCGAGATGGCTTGCAACAAATGACTTACTCGTGCCATCCATTCGCATCAACTCCTTTGCAGAAGCGTTGTAGAATTTCTATGTGAAAAATGATCAAACGACATATTCTTTTTAGGTATTAAATACATGTTGGGTATATGTCCTTTTTTTATTTGTGTTTGAATTAATCTTTTATTTCATAAATAAGTCCTAGTGTTTAGATGTTGATGTTGAAGTTGAAGACTTGAAGTGATTCCATATTGATGCTATTTCATATGATGTTATATGTATAATAATTATAGAGTCAAAATCTATGTAACCGATCATGCTTGCTAGTGTGACATATTATTTTGATGTTTGAAATTGTGGCGTCAGAGTCACTTGTGGACAGAGACACAAGTTTACTTGAAAGATTGGAGATAGTTTAGTATTTAGTACTCTCGATGTTTTGGCATGACTTAGTATTTATTATTTACTGATGTTTGATGCTTGATTAATATATATCTTTCTGTTTTCTTTAAATTCTAAACATTTATATTTTGTTAATGTTTGAAAATGTCTTGAGTTTTCCGTTGCAATATTTAATAAAAAATGAAGTTTCAAAAGCATAAAGAAAATTTCAAAATAGGTGTATTTTAAGGGATGATTTAGAAGTACTTTCGGGTTTGTGTTAATGGTGGGGACTAAAGTTGTTTCTTAGTCCTCAAATAAACAACCAAAACCCGTGGTTGCCCTTTCCACAATAGAGGCAAAACACAAAGGTGAAATATGGTTTGTAGGTCATATTGTAGGGCTCGTAAGTGCCTTGAAGAGAAAACACGAACTGAGATTGCTTGATAAAGCTCTAACGATATGCTAAAACCATATCCAACCCACCTCTATTTTTTACATCTAAATAAAGTAAAAATTGATGCAAATAGTGTTTAATTTCAGATTCTATTCCTTTTGTACGTTATTTTTACAGCAAAAAGTGTATTACCCGGTATATCTTTTTATAACTTATATAGATTGTCAAAAATATCGATTATATCAGTTAGTTTTTAACAAATGTGTTACATCTTTTTCTATATAGGTTAATTGCATGTTTTATTAGAATATTTGTATTGTAATATATATATAGTTAGGTTATTTTGTTTCTTACATTTATTGTGTGTTAGAATGCACCAATAGAAATTTAGTAAATTAAATAATTATTTAATTAAATAAATATAGATATTAAATGATTTCCATAATTATATGTATATTAAATGATATCCATAATTTTAATTCTATTTTTATGGAAACTAATTAAATCCGTCATTAATGTCAGCAATAACATTCTTTCAAAATGAATTTGCATCTAGGTTTTTTTATATGAGTTCGTATTTTGTTTCAGAGCTCACTCACTTAAAATACAATAAAGTTGCATTAAATATGAAGAACGAGAGTGTATTCTAGAATACACTCTTATTCTTCTAGATATGAATTCATTCTGAAAGAATATTATTGTTGACATTAATGACGAATTTAATTAGTTTCCATAAAAATAAGTTATAAGTATGGATAGCATTTAATATACATATAATTAATACAAAATTCCTATTGGTGCATTCTAGCACACAATAGATATGAGAAACATTTGAACCTACCTCTCTCTCTCTCTCTCTATATATATATATATATATATATATATATATATATATATATATATATAAGCTTTACAAAATACATTATCGTGTTTTATTTTGTTTAAAACGTATTTAAATTTATATAAATTCAATACATAAAGATTAAACTTTATATTTATGATTAACTAATCTCATTTAATATATAACATTATATTACATATATTAAATAGCATTTATATTTAATTAGTAATTAAAATAAACTAGAAATCTATAAACCTAAAATAAAAGGGACTAAAACTAGAACCAAAAGTTGAACTCCATGAATAATATTACTTTATATTTTGTTATAGTATTTTACACCAAGTTGCAAGAAATGGAGTGACATTGAGAAGAATGGAGTTAAAAATGATATTTGGAGTTTGGTTGGAGATACCAAGATAATTAAATGTTTCACAACAAGAGTAAACATATTGATGTATGATTCCATTTTCTATGAGACCCGGTGAAAGATAGACTTGTCAAACTAAGCTACTACAACAATTAGAACTTAAGTACAAATGTTATAATTAACAAATCCATTGAAGCTAGAAAAATTTGAGAAGCTTCATAGCATGCTTGGCGTAACTAAATTCATCGTATTAATCTAAATGCAAATACATTATTAGCTTAAGAAGGGAGTGTTATGTATAAGGTATGTTTGGCCAAACAAGTCGGTAGCCGATAATCGGAGTGTTATGTAGGTGGTAACTAGAAACTATATGTTATATTTGTGTAGAAGTGTTCGACAAAGGTAGTTCTAAGTGTTTAAAAATATAGAATTATATAAAAGTAAGAGCTAAAAGCTCTCGAAAACTACTTAAAATATTTTTTAGATTGAAGTTTTTTTTGTTTAAAATAAAAGTTTAAGCTTGTATTTTCAAACAAAGTTTTTTTTATTATTATTATTATCAAAAGCTAAAAGCTCAGGTGCCGTAGAGTGTTTTTATTTTTGTTAGAACTAGTCTCCATTTTTAGTTAAATAAGTCCTAGTCTTTAAGAGAAGTCATTCTTCATATGCCTAATAATATAAAAACCCTTAAGTTTGATATAAATATTCGGTTTTACCCTTTCGCGTATTTTTGTTTCATTAAAGTCAGAATGGTTTTTTTTTTTTTTTTTTTTTTTTTTTTTTTTTTTTAATTCAGTTATACCCTTTAGCGTATTTCTTATTCATTAAAGCCCTTTAAGGTTGACATAAATGTTTGGTTTTACCATTTTTTATGGTTCATTAAAGTCTTTAAGTTTGGTAGAAATGTTCGGTTTTACCAGGTAAACATGCAAAAAGGTAAAATTGAAAAAAAGTTGCAAACTCCTGGTTTTAATGAACCAAAATATGCAAAAGATAAAACCGAACATTTATGTCAAGGATAAGAGCTTTTATGTCATTAGGCCCTTCTTCATAATGATAGTTGTTGGGTCATTCTTCATAATGATAGTTGTTTGCACATAAACAGTGGGAATGATAATGAACAAAGTAGGCCAAGTTAGGAACGCCAAGACTCCAAAGCTTAAGTAAGCATTCATCGTTGCTCCTACGCACATCGTAAGCTTTATTGCCAATTCAAGGTCCACAATGCTAAGATCGGATGACACCTAACAAAAGTAGATTCCTAAGTTTCTTGTAGTTCATTCGAGCATAATTTTATAGGTAAAAAGATATCAACTTACCGGACTAATGATCCTTCCGATAGGTGTTGAGTCATAGAAAGCCATTGGTGCTCGAAAAAGTGATGTAATCAACTTGATAAACATTGTTATCGACGTCTTCACCCCTAGTTTAACAGCCAAATAAGATCTACTAAATAATAAAACTATAACCAGGAAAGCGAGGATCGTGTATACTAGCAACATGTTCCTATGGTTTACACCAAAACTGTGCACTTCCTTAGCCAACCATAGATTCTGCAACACCTGCCCGATTATGTACACAAAATTTATCAAAACCAACATAGAGAAGTAGAAAACACCGTTGCTCTGGCTAAGATATTGTTTGTACGGTTTAAAACCCGTGTCCCCTGCTTCTTTCTCTTCTTGCTTAAGCAATTGTTCTCCTACAATTTCTTCTTTAGGATTAATTTTTTTGGTTTCTTGAAATAGAGCTTTAAATCCGTGTTGAGAATCATCATGTGCTTCTTGATTATTTGAATTGGAAGTATCTCTAAGTGTGATCATAAGGTTTTTGAACTCTCTACAGGAAGCAAGTAATTTCTCATATGTTCCTCTTTGCACGATCTTCCCGTCTACCATTAACTGTGAATGGAATCAAAAGTCGTTAAGAGTGGAAGAGCTTAAAAACCTTAAAACAACTAGTTTGTGAAATAGGTCATGAGCTCACCAGAATATCGTCAAAAGCTGGCAAGAAATCGACTTGGTGAGTTACAAGCAACACCGTCTTGCTAGATAGAGCATCCATGATGTATTCCTATAAATAAAAAACGTTTCAACGAATTGTATTTTTTAAAGAGAGATATGAAAACGATGATTACCTTGAATAAACTGGATGCAGTATGTGCATCAACTGCACTGAACGGATCATCCAAGAGGTATATATCTGCATCTTGATATAATGCCCGAGCAAGCTGAACTCGTTGTTTTTGTCCACCGCTAAGATTTATGCCTCGTTCTCCTATAATTGTTTGGTCTCCAAACGGAAACATCTCGATATCCTTCATAAGTGAGCATTGTGTTACTACTTTTTCATACTTTTCCTCATCCATCAACATTCCAAATAGAATATTTTCTCGAATAGTCCCCGTTTGGATCCATGCCGTTTGCGAAACGTATGCCACCTTGCCATAAACTTCAACCTGAAAAATTCAAAATCCAATTTCAAACTAATAATACAATCTTTAATCGAAGCCCAAAACCTATTTTTCCACGTGTTTTAATGTAAAATAACTCAATCGGATTGATTTATTATACCATTATATCCATACATGATGCTCGTGAACAATATGACACCAAATACAGTTAACGTTGCTATTATACTAGTCACTAAAACCAAATATTGTGTTAAAGTTTTATGTGTACATGTTGATTCTGATTTTAGTTTATTATTTTCATAGCAATATCATATATATAATATTTGTTACTTGTAAAGTTATATTATCAAGTGGATTAATATTAATTAGTTTATTAATTATGTATTAGTAAATTTTATGTTTCATACTTACATAAATTTTTTTGTATTTTTTAATAAATATAAACGTTATGTTTGAAAATTTATATTACTTACAAAAAAGGAATTATATCAAGAATAATTTTGTGTTGTTGGAAATGGTTTAAGGTCAACTCAAAGGGTTTTCAAAAGCCTATTTTATTCTTGCGAAGTAGTCACATGCAGACCTGCACATTAACGGCTCCGGACAGTTCTAGGTCAATCTCGGAATGGTCCGATTTTTTTGGCCACCGGTATCGACACAAGTCTTTTTTAGACCGGTTTTGGACAGTCTTTTTTCATTTCATTCTATTTGGGATTGGTCTTGGTTTTTTAGTACGGAAGTGCGATCTTGGCATGGATTTTTTTGGTGTTTTTTCGGTTTTGGATTTTTCCGTTAACAAATATGTGATTACGACCAAAATAATACATTAAAATTATAAAAAATAATACATTAAAATGTAATAAAAAAAAAAGAAAAAAAAAGTTGAATATGCTATTAAAACAAAGATGATATGTATGTAGTGAAGTGGTAAGTCCGATAAAAAGTATGATGTATCTAGTGGGGTGGGCTAAGACTAGAGGGTGTGGATGTGGTAGGGAGTGCGGTTCAATACTTCAGCTATGGCAAACACCCTGTATGGTCTGCGGTAGGAAGTGTAGTTCCTCTCTCTTCACTTATAATGTGTCGTGCTCTCTCTCTCTCCACACACACACACACACACACACACACATAATATGTATGTAGAAAGGGATCGGTCTCTATATATGGACCGATACTAAAAAGGGTAAAGACTCTATAAGGGCTTAAGGGAGTAGGTGACAAAAACGCTCGGCATGCCATACAAACACCACCCCCTCAAAGGTGGTATGACATAATGGCAAACTAAAATGACATTTTAGCGTCGATGAGAGAGGAGAGAGAATATGCATGTGAGTGTGTGTATTTTTTTTTCTTTTCGTATTTTTTTTACCAAGTTGATCCGTCCATGAAAAGGGTATATTATTTATGTTATGTGGCAAAATTGACATGGGCAGTTTGTGGCTTTATGTTTGAAGCAAGTAATTAATGGTTTTTTTTTTATTTTTTTATTTTTTTATTTTTTATTTTAAAGCAAATATACTAAACCACCCTAAATTATTTTATCTATGACCACTGCAGGACTTGAACCTTCGACTTTAAAAAGAGAGAACAACACCGGATACCGCTGGACTATAAACAAATAATGGGTAAAGAGCACAATATATATATTGAAGTTATTTGGTAGGACAAAATTTAAGAAGACTTAGTGTGCCTTCTATGTTGGGAACCTCTCCTAGAATGGCAGATATAAGAGTCGATTTACCCGACCCGACCTCTCCACATATTGCCACCTTTTTGCCTGTCGAAACTTCAAGATTTACATGGGTTAGGGTCGGTTTTGATGAATCATCATTCCATGAAATCCTCTCACATTTGATTATTACAGATAGGTCTTGATCATCTTCCATAGTCACATGACTTGTTCCCTCTTTCTGCAATTCAGGCGCCTCAAGAAACTTAACAACACGAGCTAACGCTACACTTGCCTCGATAAACACAGCTGCAACATCAGGAATGCTCTGAATAGGCTCCTGAATGATCCGAATTGTTGCCAGAAACGTGAACACATTACCTGCATCAAGTGGGATTCCCAACAAATAACACGACCAAAACGTAACTACTGCTACAACCGCCGGAGACGACCAATAAAGAGCCAAGTAAACGCCTCTTTGTGAGATAACAGCCGATAACCATCTCATCTCTTGGTTTCTCAACTTTCCGGCCACCTCCCGGAAATGCGTCTCCCATGCATACAACTTCAAAACCTTCATGTTTGTAACAGCCTCCGTTATACCCTTCAATCTCCGGTCCTGTGTCATCATAAGTCCTGTTAAGTTTTCATGTTGCAACTTACCCAACGGGATATTTCCAAGAACTGTCAACGTTACTACTAAAAGAGATGCAAATGTTGCAACTCCCACTGAAAAATAGATTATTACTATCGCCAGACATATCTGAAGAGGTATCATCCATACCCGATGAAACCAAAACGGGAACTCGCCGATTCTAGTAGCATCAACGGTGGCGTAGTTCATTATTTGACCGGAGGAGTAACTCAGTTTAGCATCGTTGGATAGCCGGAGTTGCTTCTGATAAATGGCTGCACATAACATTGATTTCACTTGGAGTCCGATCACTCTACTCCCAAACTTTAGTTGTCTCTCCGATACCGATTCTAGACATTTCGCTAGAAGTAGACCTAACGCCAGAAAATAACCTTCGTGCTCAAAGCTTTCTTTCCCTTGGAAAACCCTAATGAAAGCTCGTAGAATCAAAGGTCCAGAAGCCAAAGCGAGCACTTTTATTAGCGAAAAGAACCCTGTGATCACGACTTCTTTACATTGCCAAACGAACAATGTTGACAATATCGACGGATCGGAATCACCACGACCACCGGAAGCACGTCGCTTCTTCATCGTCTCCATGAATCTGGAATAGCATTCTTTAGCTGTATCTTCTCTTCGTAACTTTGGGATGTCTTTGTTGTCAAGAACTTTAGTTTTTCCTTTTATCATCAACGGATTTAGCCACCAGAATGTAAGTTTACTTAACGTTCCTGCTTCAACCATTGGAGTAACATTTTCGTTTGTTTCAGATGGCGGAATAGCTTGCAGAGGTTCATAAAGACAACCATTCTCGATGTTTTTTTGTTTTAGGGCCATGAAAACCCTGCTCACAAGTTTTCTTCTAAAATCGATGAAGTGACTTAGTGACTTACGTGCACATGCTATGTATCGATGGTACATAAAGAACACCCAATACCGTGTATATGACAGAATCTTTACGGATCTAGTTTTAGTTTAGAGCATCCTTTTTCTTTTCAAAAGCTTTTTATCTAAATAAGCTTTTGAATAAGTGTGGTTCCTTTTGTGAGACCTTTTCTTCATAACATACTCATCGGCTATAAGAGCCTGTGTTCACTAATTTTTATTTAATAAAACTTTTTAGTAAATATATTTATAATGGTTAACATTTAAAAAAAAAAATTCTCCAACTAATTTATCATTTATAAGTTTTATCATATAATTTATAAATTATCGTTGTCTGTTTTTTTTTTTTTTTTTTTTTTTTTTTTTTTTTTTTTTTTTTTCGAAACCATAAAAGATAATAAACTACAAAACAGTAAAATATTAAGTAACCGAAATGTTTTATAGTATTTGTTATTTTTTAATTTTGAAAATTTTGACAACTACTTTTTAAATTATATAACTTTTTTATAAAGTACATTCATTTTTATTTTTTATTAAATCAACTGATTAACTAATAAAAAAAATTTAATATCTAAATATCACTAGGATATAAAATATATTGGTACTTAATTTAGGGATCAAATATGCAAAACATATGAAAAAAAATTAAAAGGTTAGTGGAAGATAAAACGTTTGTTAGTGTTTTTTTATGAAAAGTCTTGTTCTCCGATGGTAAAAGAATTTCAAAAGCTTTTTCAAATAGTAAAAAGCTTTTTAAGAACCTACCATAAGAGATGCTTTGAGAACATCATAATGCATTCAAGTCTTTAGAATTTAATATATTCATACATCATCATTTTTTTTATGAACTCTATCAATTTTTTATAATGCACTAAACTTTACAAAGTTCAATGAAATATATTTAAATATTAAAATGATGGAATATAATACATTAGGTCTATCAGACCAATTGGTATACCATCGATGAACCACTTTGTGGTCTAGCTGGCCACGGACAACGGTCGTGCACACCAGCCCGACCATTCGTGGTGCATCGTTGTCGTGGTGTACCGTGGGTGGGAAGGACGAGATGCAACGATCAATAAGAGTTTGCTTCATATTTGAACGGTCATGTAGCTGTTGAATGACTAATTTTAAAAAAAAAACATTTTTTTAAACACAAGTTTTATCTATAAAAACCACACTATACACCCACATTTCTTACACCATTTTTTTCTTTCTCTATATTACACAATATACATACAATCTTTTTACGACCAAAATACACCCCCCTCCCACACACACACACTTTAGAAATCGCAAATCCGATAACGTTTTTGCGTTAGATACAACCCCTCGCCAATTTCCGACCATGAAATCACCTCAAGGTGGTGTTGTCAATTTACTTCAAACCGGTTCCTCTATCCAACAAACACCACTTATCTAACAACAATATCAACATTTCCCGACCTTCCAACAACAACAATTCCAACAATTCTAATAATTCCAACAACTCCAAAAACAATTCCAACCACAAGCGTTACAACCATAACAATCACAACCACCAATTTCATAACCCCCTTATTCGTCGGTTTTTGTTTCGGAAACGAAACCTTCACCACCACTACCTCAACCAAAAAAAGAAGAAAGGAAAAAAACCGGCACGACCCACTACCAGTCAAGAAAGGGTGCCATGGACAAAAGAGGAAGAAGAAAAGCTAGAGGAGGCGTGGGTTTCGGCTTCCCAAGACCCAACTGAAGGAGATAATCAAACCTTCAATTGTTTTTGGGAGAAAGTTCAAAGTGTGTTTTATGCATTAAGGGGAAGCGGAAGTCAAAATCCCGATCAAATTAGCTCGAAGTAGCGCGATATTTGACTAAAACACACCAAATTTGGAGGAATTTACAACAACCTCCAAAACATACACAATTTTGATGTTTTCAAGGCGACATTGGATCAATTTGAAAAAAACAATGCCAACCCGCAAAGATTTTCCGTATGTGAAACCGTGGCTAAAATTGAAAGACGCTCCAAAATGGAAAGAGCAAACGAAAGGAACTTCACAAACCTCTTCCGGTTCAAAGCATTCAAAAAAAACCCTGATGTAACTTCCCAACAATCGAACGAGCGAACACACATACATCGACATCAACGATGATCCACTTGATCTTGAAGACGAGCAACCTCTTCGTCGGCCCGTTGGAAGAAATAAAGAAAAAAAACGCGGGTTCGTCGGCTTCGAGTTCTAGTGTTATCAATCATTTTGGAGAGAAATTTGATCGATATGTCCACATTCAAGAAACCAAGGCAGAGATGTTGAGTCGGGTGGAGCAAAAAATGATAGAAGCGCAAACGTCATACCAAGAGGCGCAAACGACACTTCAAACAAAAAATGATATGAAGATTTTGAAGATGAAAGCGGACGATCTCGAAGGCGAAGATTTGGAGATTTTTCTCGTGATGAAAGAGTCAGTTCGAACGAGACATAAGAGTAGAGGATAGTTTTTTTATGTATGTTTGGTATTTTAATTAATGTAATTTTTTTTAATGTAATGTGGTATTTTAATTTAATGAAAAACTAGTATTAAAAAAAATTTATATGTTTTTAATGTATTTTTGAATTAAATTTAATTAAAAAAATAAAGTGGAATGATGTGTTTAGTGGTAGGTATTCCATAGTTAGTGATATAGAGTATGATGATGATGTGACATCCACTGCATTGTATTGGTTAACGGATGACCTTACAAGAGTTTTCATGGAGACTGAGACAGGTGAACGATAACGTAGTTTTCTCGTTTGTTACAATGGTCTAAAAGAACCAAAAATTTAAAGTTTTTAAATCATAAGGACCAACGTTAATGACCTAAAAATTTAAGGAATGAATTTGATTTTTTTGGAAACAACATATAACATTTTTGAAGATTTTCCATAACATAATTTGATAGTCATATATAGTATATTATTTAAGATAAATACTTTTATGAAAATATAATTTGATTTTTTTAAGTGCGTTTAATTTATCTATTTTAATTATTACAATTTAATAAACTTTTTAAATAATTAATATTAATTGTTTAAACATGTTTTAGTAGATATATAAGTGTTTTTTTATTTTTATTTTATTATTATTATTTTTTTAAATCAGATAATAAAGTTAATGGTTAAATTAAATGTCATTTTTTGATAGCCTTTTATTTAGTTTAAAAAACAATATAATTATTTTAAGACCTTAAAATCCTAAGAATCTAATAATATGGTATTTAGTTATTTTAAACAATATATTTATGATTGTAAATATTTAATATCCTATAAAAGACGTTATTTCGAAATATATATTGCATCTTATATCATATTAAACTAATTTTTGAGTATATTAACATTATTTAATATTTTGGTTTTAATGCTAAATATACTAACTATCAACCTAATATACATCATGTATTAATTTTAATATATTGTTGGTATAAACTATTATCATTTTAATTTTAATGCTATAATTATCGAATTGTCAATGTAACACCCAAATCGTTGAGGTATTTTATTTTAATTAAAAATCTTGATTTTGAATTGCCACAACGTGGTGGAGGTACCACCACGACGTGGCAAGGCTGGAAGGATCTCAAACATCGATTCCTGGTCGCTACGACGTGGTCGTATGTTGGCCATGACGTGGCAACCACCTGATGGTAAAAACCCTATTTTTCGGGTATTTAAAGGAAAGTATGGACTAGGGTTGTTTACCCTTAGCCTTCATCACTCTCAAACATCAGAAACCCTAACCCTAACACCTCTTGGTGATTATTGAGCTCATCTTGGTGCTTGGTATTTGCTTGTGAAGAAAGAAGAAGGCTTTGGAGGTCTTGTTAGCATCTTGGGAAGCTTTGGGACTTCACTTTCTCAGGACATTTGGTATGTGCCAAGATCCAAACTTTATGCTTCTATATTGCTAGATCTAAGGTTTTGTACCATTTTCTTCTTGAATGAGCATGATGGAGTGGAAGGATTCCATAAAGTCACCAACTTTATGGATCCTTGGGGTCCCTTTAAGGACATATGTTGTAGATATGGAGTTTCGTGGAAGTTATTGGTCCCATTTAAGTTCTTTTTTTCCCATATTTTGACCTAAAAACGGAAGCGACATGCATTGTACATGCATGTTCGTAAAGCACCAACTTTTATGTTCCCTTTGGTGTAAGAAAGGTTTCTGGAAAACATGGATGAGTGACCTTGATGATTAAGAGTTTATTGGTTAAGTCATGCTTCTTAATGTCTTTAAGGACCTAGGTTTAGAGTTCTTTTCTTAATGGAATGTCTTAATGGATAAAGTTGGAAACTTTATCCATCAAGACCTTGGGAAGGATTAGATCTGAACTTTGGAGCACATGGAATTGGAAGAAAACAACTTAACACGACTGAGCTATTCAGACAAGTTCCCACGACGTGGCAACTAGGGATCAATCAATTGTTTTGGCATTTTGTGCCCACGACGGGGCCAAAGGAAGGCCACGACGTGGGGGTTTGCCGTTGACAATTTTGACCCTAAATTTGACAGTTGACTTTTTGTCAAATTGCTAGCTTTAGAAGGGTAGCCTAAGAGTTTACCTTGTATGGATATCTAGGTGGCGTTTAGCACCCATGCTTGGATTTTGACAACTATTGACTTTTTCGACACTATGAGGTGAGTTTTTATCACTATACTATGTAGGTGTTAGTTGTCTATGTGATACTTGCATGAAAGACCCAAGGGGTAGCCCATGACATTTGTATGAAAGACCATAGGGGTAGCCCATGAAACTTTTGTATAAGACCTTTGGGCAGCCAAGGAACTGCAAGGGAAGACCATATGTAACGACCCAAAAATCAAGGGTAAAAATTTCATTTTTAATATAGCCATTTCAAACATTCCAAAACATCGTTAAGTAAAATATTTATTAGAGTTCATCCCAAAATCATTTATTGCGGAAATCATAGGTGTGTGCACTGCGATCAGTCCGAGCCCTTCTTTTCCAAATCATTAATATCTGAAACCAAAACTATAAGCCATAAGCACGAAGC